CCCCAAAACCCCAAAACCCCAAAACCCCAAAACCCCAAAACCCCACGAGTGTGACATTCCATTGAAAAACGTCGTCCAATCGTTCCTATTGTCAAAATATTATAAAGAACTTATCCAACGTGTATTTCGATCTTACGGGAAGGGATGAAGAACCTATCGTACTCGATGTTGATCACCCTTTCTTCTTTTGGAAGATGCTTCTTGGCCAGAAGGCCATACAAAGGGTCTTTACCTAGGTTACAACTGATTGTTTTTGGCTCTACTTCAATTCCCCAGATATCAGTGAACTTCCTGCAACTGACAGAGGAAGCGTCTACAGCTAATAAGCTGTCAATGATTTGCTTGTCGCTCAAAATTCCTGATTTTATTAAGAAGTTTCTGAATGCGAACATTTCAGTACTTGCCTCGCTAATAATATCTTTAGATTTTAAAAGGAGGTCGATAGCTTGGTCAAACCTTGCCTTAATCTTCATTTCTTTCTGAATGAGGACATCTTTAATGAACCTGAACTGTCTCTTATCTGGATTAAATGACGCAATTAGCTTATCAAGCTCTGTGAAATTATGAATACGAATAAAATCAGGCTTTTGATACTTTGTTTGCCTGTTATATTTCTTTATCAATTCAAAACTGGCGTTATACCCTTCGTGAAGATGTTTCCAGTAGTAACAAGAGACAAAAGGATAGATATGATCAATGATCATTTCAAAGCTAAGGTTCATAATTCTACGATGCTTGTCGAGTACCTTCTCAGCGGTCTGACGGAAATGATCGGAACAAGTCATCTTTGCATTCTCTTTATATTCATTTGTAGCTGGGTCAACAAAGATTTCTGCCATCTTCTTCCTATGAGACTCAATGTCTCCGATAAGATTAGTAGACTCTTTGCTCACAGAATTCCAGGTCTGGTTTCTATAAACTTGTAACATTTGATGCAGCTTGGTGTTTTCGGATTCTAATATTTTTATCTTCAACTCCAGCTCTTCAATATAAACTTTTTTCCTATCTCTGCTTTTCTTGGCTCTCTCTTTGCACTGCATTCTCCTACGTTCAAGCTTGTTCATGCCAATATCTTCAATGGCGAGTTCAACTGGCTTCTTGGCAGCACCTTGATCTTTTTCTTCGCAATCTCAATCACATTTTTCCTTGGTTACCGGACAAAGATCTACTTTTAGCTCAGGCTCAATAAATTTAGGGATATCCTCCATTGGTTGCATTAGTTCTGGTTTTTGGATCTCTGGCTCTAGAGGGAAATCCGGAATAGCTGGCATTTCAATGGACTTATTATCCTCTTCGTCCAAGTACTCGTCTGAAAAGAAAAACATATTTATTTTCAATACCAATATTGAATAATGGGGTTTTGGGGTTTTGGGGTTTTGGGGTTTTGGGG